CCTCCTTTCTTCCTGTTCTCCTCCTCCCCCTCCCCCTCCCCTCCTCCATCTCCTCCTCCTCCTTTTCCTCCTCCTCCTCCTTCTGCTTCTTCTTCTTCCTCTTCCTCTTCTTTCTCTTCTTCCTCCCCCTCCCTCCTCTTTTCTCCCCTTTCCCTCCCCTTTCCTCCCCTTCTTCTCTGTCTTCTTCTTCTTTTGCCTCTTTTTCTGCTGTTGCTTCTTCTTCTTTCTTTCTCTTCTTCTTCTTCTTCTTCTTCTTCTTCTTCTTCTTCTTCTTCTTCTTCTTCTTCTTCTTCTTCTTCTTCTTCTTCTTCTTCTTCTTCTTCTTCTTCTTCTTCTTCTTCTTCTTCTTCTTTTCTTCTTTTTCTTCTTCCCCTTCCCTCTTTTTCCCTCCCCTTCCCTCCCCTTTCTTTCCCTTCCTCCCCTTCCTCCCTTTCTTCCCCTTCCTCCCCTTCCTCCCCTTCTTCCTGTCCTCCTCCTCCTCCTCCTCCTTCTTCTTCTTCTGCTGCTGCTTCTGCTTCTTCTTCTGCTTCTTCTTCTTCCTCTTCTTCCTCCCCTTCCCTCCTCTTCCTTCCCCTTCCCTCCTCTTTTCTCCCTTTCCCTCCCCCTTCCTCCCCTTCTTCTTCTCCATCTTCTTATTCTTTTGCATCTTCTTCTGCTGTTTCTTCTTCTTCTTCCTCCTCTTCTCTTCTTCTTCCTCCTCCTCCTCTTCTTCCTCCCCTTTCCTCCTGTTTCCTCCCCTTCCTCCCCTTCTCCTTCTCCTCCTTCTCCTTGTCCTCCTCCTCCTCCTTCTTCCTCTTCTTCCTCCCCTTCCCTCCCCTTTACTCACCTTTACTCCCCCTTCCTCCTCCTCCTCCTCCTCCTCTTCTTCTTCCTTTTTCCTCCTCCTCCTCCTTCTTCTCCCTCCTTCTTCTTTTTTAACAGGGAAGGTAAGAACCCACAATTAGAAGGTCTGGGGGAGGGACTAATAGGAAAGATGAAAGCTAGAAAGTTTTGTGGATCGGGAGGGAGCAGGAGGTCATTCCCTGGGTTTCTGACTTCTCTTTCAGGATGTAGATGCAGCTTACATGAACAAGGCTGAGCTGCAGGCTAAAGTGGACAGCCTGATAGATGAAATCAACTTCCTGAGGACCCTCTATGACATGGTGATTCCTTGGTTTGCTAAGCAGCAGAGAATCTCCGTTGACATCTTCTCAAGCATAGCTTTGGGGACTGACCTGGCCCATGGGGAGGGACTCTCCTTCCCTTAGCCCATTTTACTCCTCTAGTCTGGTATTACTAGCCTGTTACTTCATAATACTCTTCCCTCCTGTGCTCCCATGGAGACCTATACAAGCAGGCTCACTGGCTGATGTTTTCAAGTTGACAACCTGAGTATCTATGCAATTTCACTTTCTTCTAGCCTTCTAGACTTGCCATTCTTTAGATTGTAGCCAGGTCTGAAATGTAAGCTTATTTTTCTAATTGCCCCCATTCTTTAGCTCCCTCCTTGGGGGTAGGGGGGTATCTTTGCCAGTAGAGGGTTCGTTTTTAACCTCCTTTGGGAGGAGGATGGGAGACATTGTCTTAACGACCATCCATGTTCCCTGTAGGAGCTGTCCCAGATGCAGAATCATGTCAGCAACATGTCTGTGGTGGTGTCCATGGATAATAACCGCTGCCTGGACCTGGACAGCATCATAGCCGAGGTCCGTGCTCAGTATGAAGAGATCGCCCAGAGGAGCAAGGCGGAGGTTGAGGCCCTGTACCAGACTAAGGTGCAAATCCTTCTCTCAAGGTCATCAGGACCCAATGAGCTTTACCAAGAGTGTGCCAATTCTTTGCCAAGTCATGTTGATGAGTTTCTCCTCTGTTAGCTTGGGGAGCTGCAGACCACAGCTGGCAGGCATGGGGACGACCTACGAAGCACCAAGAATGAGATCATGGAGCTCAACATGATGACCCAGAGGCTGCGGGCAGAGATCGAGAATGTTAAGAAGCAGGTGGGTCTCGACTGAATGGAGTGATCCTGGTGAGCTTTTGAGCCTTGGGGAGGAGGAAGAGCACTGGCTGGGCTCCTCTGCCACGTGCTTTGTCTATCATTTCATGGTGTCAGACTCTGGGAGCTTCTGTTCTCCCAGATGGTCCTTCTGGAGGCTTGATTTCCTGGAATGCTTCCTTAAAGGAGAGATGGCTGCCCATTCTGCTCTCTCTAGCCCTCAAATACTCAGCTCTCAGCAGATTCTGCCTTCAGTGGAGCTCTTCGGCATAACTTTCACGACTGCTTTGTATCACAGGAATGACATGATCAGTAAGAGAGCTCCCAACAGCAAAGCATTCCTGTACTAGCTGAGTTAGAAGTCGATTTCAGTGGGCCAAGGATGTGTTTTTGCCCATTTCAACAGTGACTTGTTTTTTGAGCATGCTCCAATGGGATTTCTGAGGAAGAGGTAGGACGGATGCTGGATGGAGGAAGAGATCTCTTCTCAGGAGCAATGAGGTATTTGTTTCCTACCATAATTTATCTACCCTCTCTCTGTCCCAGAATGCCAACCTGCAGACATCCATTGCAGAAGCTGAGCAGCGTGGTGAGATGGTTCTCAAGGATGCCAATGCCAAGCTTCAAGACTTGCAGAGCGCCCTACAGCAGGCCAAAGATGACCTGGCTCATCTGCTGCATGACTATCAGGGGCTGATGAACATCAAGCTGGCCTTGGATGTGGAGATTGCCACCTACCGCAAGCTCCTGGAGGGTGAAGAGTACAGGTAAGGGGCCAAGGCCAGTATTCTCTAGATAAGATTGTGTGTGTGTGTGTGTGTGTGTGTGTGTGTGTGTGTGTGTGTGTGTGCATGTGTGCACGTGTGTGCACGTGCACAGGTCCTGGGGCTTTAACTCAGGCCCTGGGTGCTGTCCCTGCAATTCTTTTGCTTCAGGCTAACACTCTATCACTTGATTAGTTGGAGAGAATAGTCTCAGGAACTTTCCTGGTTGGCTTTCAGTCTGGATCCTCAGATCTCAGCTTTCTGAGTAGCTAGGATTACAGACACTGACACTTGCCTGTCAGATAATATTTTAAAATATCTTTGCTAATGACCTAAATGAACAAGTTGATAAGGAGAGGATTACCCAGACAACCAATGTCCAGGACTCTCCTGAATGACTGTTAAACGTTTAGGCTTCTAATCAGTCAGCATCATCTAATTCTCCAGTTTATCAGACTATCAATATTTAATTACAAACAATGTGCAATGTGTTAGGAAAAGGGCTTTGGGTTTATGATGTGTGTTATAGACTAGGGGTATCTACCTGAACTTTTGAAGCTGAAAATATTCTATACCTGTTCTGTCCAATACAGTACTCCATTAGCTGCTTGAACATTTGAAATATAGCTAATGCAACTAAGAAACTGGGAACTGTTTTTTTTTGGGGGGGCGGGAGAGGGGAAGATTTGAACTCAGGGCCTGGATGCTGTCTGTACCTAAGCCTTTTCACTCAAGACTGATACTCTACCACCTGAGCAACAGCTCCACTTCTGGCTTTTTGGTGGTTAATTAGAGATAAGAGGCTCATGACTTTCCTGCTCCAATTGGCTTTGAACCATGGTCCTCAGGTTTCAGCCTCCTGAGTAGATAGGCTTATAGGCATAAGTCACAGGCACCCAGGCTAATGCAAGAAATCTTTAAGATGAAGGGAAATAGGGCAGGAAGATGGAAAGATATAGTAATGAGAGTACCAGAAATCTCAACTCTGGATCATCCCTCTTTTCTGGGGAGATGGGAAAAGAGACTTGGAATAGTTTTCCTTCTCCCAGGAACTTGATGCCTCCTAGGGCACATGGGAAGATGTGACTCCCGAAGTTTTTGGTTATTGAACCACTGTAGAAATAACTCCCATATTGTATTCCTTTTCAGGATGTCTGGAGAGTACCTGAATTCTGTGAGCATCTGTAAGTAGCACATTCAAAACCTCCCTGGGCTGTAAAACGAACAGCTAGAAACATCCCTACTGACTGAGCTTCAGGGGAGAAAGCCTGATTCATCTAATGAAGTCACCTGACTGCAACCAGGGTGTTGGCCACTGACATCTTCTGTCCCCAGTATAGGCTGAACTATCTTTGGGGCCAAAACTTAAACCTTCCGCCCCCTGCCTCATGTTTGTAGGGTATGTCCTAAGTCGGAGAATCAGAAATTTCTGTGGGCACTTCTGGTTCCTGCTTTTGGACAAGGATGCCGGAGAACCAGGCTCACACTTCTTAGTTGCAAATTAAGGTCTTAGAGAAGCTGAGCTTTATCTAAGTCAAGCAGGGGACACTGGTCATTGATCTCCACCTTCTTTTCTCCTAATTTGAGTGTATGCTCTCTCGTAGCGGTGGTCAGCAATACCACCAGCACGAGCAGCAGCTCTGGAGGTTTCCGAGGAGTCAATGGCAGTAGCAGCAGTGGCTACAGAGGAGGAAGCAGCAGTGGCGGCACCAGAGGCAGCAGCGGTAGCAGCTATGGACAGGACAGGAGAAGTGGGGGCAGGGCTGGCATGAATAGCTACCAGAGCAGCAGCAGCAGCAGCGGCAGCAGCAGCAGCAGCAGCGGGACCAGGCTCGGCAGTGGAGGCAGCAGCTGTGTGAGCCAGCGTGGAGCGGGTTTTGGCTCTGCCTGCATCCAGACCTCAGTAGGCTACAAGTCTGCTTGTGGAGGCAATAGCAGTCACCACTTCTCCCAGATCACTACCAGCTCCAGCCAGCAGTGCCCCAAGTGATATCCCAGGCCAGCCCTCCACACCCACCTGCTTCCCTCCCAGCCTGCCTTGGCAGGTCCTACTCTGCTTGGCATGATCAGGTGCAGACATCTCAATTTCACTTTTCCTCAAGTTTCCTGGAGAAGGAGCTGAACTCTTAACTCCTCCATCTCCAAGTTTTTTCTAAGCCAAGGAAGTCTGGTTACTAGTCTGGGATTAGAAGCCCCTGTGATGGAACTCACTTTGGACAGCAGCACTTTAGTCCAAGCCCACCTTGCAGCCTGGCCATGTGCATTCTGGGAAAGGTTGGTTTAAAGATGGCATCTGCTCAAGATCTCCACCTGAGGGGAGCAGGGCAGAGGGTCAGTGCCATCTCCAGACTGTTGGCTCTTGGGGAGCCCTTCTTCAATCTGGGCATCATATCTTTATTCACCTCTGTCCCCTTTATCTCCTGGGTTGTGGAAATTCTGATAATGAGTATGTTGCACTTCCTTTTCTCAATAAATTGCACTAGATGTAAAAGTTGGTGTGTGACTCTTACTTAAAGACCAACCAGGCCCAAGAGTAGAGGGAAATCAGCTGTGGGTGGTGGTCTTCCAGAAGTCAGGAGTGAGTATAAAGGGCAGGGAATAGATGTGGTTTCTCCTTTACTCAATTGGTTGGGTTCTTATGCCAGAGTGTGCATGGTGTTAAAGTGGGAACCTTCCCACTCCCAAGGAATTCATCTCAACCATACTCTGCCCCCTCTCCAGGCCTCCATAATCCAATCTCAGAAGCAGAGAGACTGTAGCTTGTCAAGAGAATACATTCCACTGGGGCTTAATAACTTTGCTCTGTCTCTACCTAGCCAGAAAACAAATTCTCCTTCTGTAAACAGCTCCTGAGATCTAAGGGAGTCAATATAGCATCCTCTTTTTCCCCTATACAGATTCTAAGCCAATTAAAACAACAAACAAAAGAATGAACAAATGATGGGCTGGGGATGTAGTTCAGTGGTTGAGCCCTTAGCTTAGAGCAGTTATTCATGTGCTTAGCATGTATCAGGCCCTTAGTTTGATCTCTAGTAGTATTAACAAAGAAGAAGAGGAACTAAAAGTGCCATGCCTATGCACATTTGATCATAGAAAATAATATTTATTGAAATGAACTCCACAAAATGGAAACAAGAAGTTTTCTTCTTTGATTCTGTTTTCGTTTCCCTTTTGTCTTGTTTGCTCATGTATTTGTCTTTGGGAGAGTAAGGGGGTTACAGAAATAGAGGAACAATGGGTGAACCAATGCAGCAGCGGTTTTCACTAGGCACTATGTTGAAAATGAACTATGCAACTTGTGGGTGGGGATGGAAGGGAAAAACAGAGAGAGCAAGGGAAGGGGATGCACTGTCTGACAAGAAATGTACTCATTACTTGACTTAGGTAACTATTAACCCCCTGTATATCACCTTTATAGTAACAATAAAAAATAAGTTAAAAAAAGAAGAGGAATGAACAAACACAGATTCAATGTTTCCATTATTGTTGACATGAAGATACTAGAGAGGCTTTGGTAACATAGGTCTCTTATTACTGGATCTTAGGAATGGGCCAGATTCCCCATCTGGGTACAGGCAGCACAGGGCAGCACTGAAGGAGATCAGACTCCTCTCAGCACACAGAATAGCAAAATGTAAGATTGCTATGGTCAGCCAGACCCTGAGAGAGGAGGGCGAGACATTGCTCTGCACACAAGCCTCTTCCTTCAAAACACAGCTATCAGGAAAGAGAGGGTGAGCATGTTATGCTAATGTAGCTAACTCCAGCTGGATGAAAAATTAGAAATGGGGACAATGCTTGGCTACTCTTCTTCCAAAAATGGCTCAGCTGTTCTCAGAAAGTTGAAACCAAAACCCAGGAAGGGTGATGGAAATGAGGCAGCTATCAAGAGAAACAGGAAGGACATATTTAAGGAGATACTTAAGGTTTGTGTTCATTTTCCCATATCTTAAACCAATTCCAAGTGCTTGCATTTGGGTCTGGGAAGTTCTGGCTTGCACTTTATTCCAGATTATGTTTACTTTCAGAAGCGAGATAGGCCTGGATGAAGGAGGGTATCTGCACATCTGCTTTATGACTAAGGAGAATTCCACAGCCTGGACTCCATATATCTAAGCCCTAGATGGGTCTAAGCCCTAGATGGGCTGCAGTCCATCCTGTCTGATCTCCAGAATTTAGCAGCCCTGGTGTGAAGACTTGGAGAATATATTTTCAAGTTTAGTTTGAGAGGCCACAAATCCTTGCTCATCTTTTCAAGGGATATGAGCAGGAGCTATCTCCCTTCTAACTTTCACTACTTGCCTTTGGCGGAACTGTCTGGATAGTAGGAACAGAGGCAAGTAGTTTATGTACTGTTACTTTTACTGGCTTTTTAGTCAATTGCAAGAACCCACACCAAAAACCATGGACATACTTTGGGAGCCCTGTTCTATCTGATGCCTAACATAAAGAGAAGAAGCTGAGCACACTGGCTCAACAAAACTCACATTAGGAGCAGCAGGGTTTGGGAACAGTCACACTTCAGCCTCTGTGTGTGTGTATGTGTGTGTGTGTGTGTGTGTGTGTGTGTCCTGGTTTGAACTTGGTGCCTAGGTGCTGTCCCTGAGCTTTTTGTGCTCAAGGCTAGTGCTCTAGTATTTGAGCCACAACCCCATTTCTGGCTGTTTGTGGTTAATTGGAGACAAGAGTCTCATGGGATTTTCTGCCTGGGCTGATTTCAAATGATGATCCTCAGATCTCAGCTTTCTTAGTGTCTAGGATTACAGGCATGAGCCACCAGTGGCAGGTTACACTTCAAGTCTCTATCCATCTGTTTCATGTGAATAAAATCTCAGTCTCCAGTGCTATCTCAGGACCCCGCTGGGGGAGACCAGCTCAGTGAAAGTTGTGAGGTTAATTGAAGGGTGTTTAGAGATGGATAGAGAGAACAGAACTTCCTTCCTTGCAACAGGAAAGAACATTGGACTGTTCACATTCCAAGGCAGAGTTCAAAGCAGATTTCCTTTCCAACTGTTGTGAGGAGGGATGATGGAGGAGGGAACCAAATGAGGTAGTGAAAGACTGAAGGATACTTGAACTGGGGAAGAGAGTGAGCCCAGAAAGGCAGATTGGAGAGCAAGCTCGGAGCAGACCTGGGAAGGAAAAAGTGTCAGACAGCATGTAAGAAGGGCAAAGGAACAGAGTTCAGGTGCCCAGACTAAATCTAAGGAGAAGTCCTGGACTAGTACCATGTTCCATGTTATTTACACAGGCTGAGACCAGACTGTGTGTCAGTGGAACAGAACCACAGAAGCTTCTAGGGTGACGCATTGTGTCTGAGGATGAGCTAGGGGCTGGGGAAGATGGGGCCTTTAAAAGTTTGTGAGAGACTAGCAATTCTGAGATTTTTTTAGTCTTTGCAGAATCCTTCAAGTCCATTTCCCATTGGGAGAAAGAACTTGGGGACCATTTACTTTTCCAGGCAGTCAAAGTAGGTAGAGTAGTAGGGAGAGTAGGTATTGTTACCTGTGTGGAATGGTCACAGGGGGATAAGAGACTTCTCAGACTGATATTCTGAAATGCTACTGGTTCTGTCTTTAGAGCAACAACAACAAAAAGCACAAATCCATCTCCCAGTAGCCACTGCTCTGTATTTTCCATCCTTATTCTTTATTTTTTAATCCTTCATTCTTCTTCTTCTCCTTTCAAAGTTCGTTTTCTAGGTTATAGAAACAAAAATACTTATAGCAAAAATGCATAAAATTTAGCCAAATAAAAAAGATATGAACACACACCTATATATTTCATAAGGCATATAATCTATAATCTATACTGCTTTCCTAGCCTGATTTTTAGTGAGTCTATTATGCTGTTACTACTGTCTAGACACTGTGCCAGGCCCAAGGATGCAGGGAATACAAATAGTTTCTATACTCACAGAATTTACATATAAAGAGACCATCATTTTCTTTTTCAAGTGCAGACTCAAATTTTTATCGAAAAGACTTTAATTTAGAAAGTCAAACTAAAAGAATTAAAAATGGTAGTTTTCTTTCTTTTTCTTTTTTCTACAGCTATGGTGTGCATGTTTTCTGGTCAGTAATATTTTATTTAGTAAAAAGCTAGAGAAATGACCATTAGAGTTCCCTGCATCATCCTCTTACTGGAATTGTGCAAGAATAGTACACCACCATTTTTCAAAAGGGTACTGAACCCAGGGCCTTGCACATACTAGGCAAGTGCTCTACTACTGAGCTACATCCTCAGCCCTGCCCTAAGAAAAATTTCTACAGGAAGGCTAGATTTAAAACTGCAATTGGTCGGGTGCCGGTGGCTCACGCCTGTAATCCTAGCTACTCAGAAGGCTGAGATCTGAGGATCACAGTTCAAAGCCAGCCCAGGCAGGAAAGTCTGTGATACTCTTACCTCCAATAAACCACTAGAAACCCGGAAGTGGCCCTGTAGCTCAAGTGGTAGAGCACCAGCCTTGAGCTGAAGAGTGCAGGGACAGTGCCCACCCCCAGAGTTCAAGCCCCATGACCAAAAAAAATTGCAACTGAAACAATTGCAAGAGGAGAGAGCAAACTCTCTCCCCTTCAACCAAAAACCTAACAAATTGGTTTATACAGAAAAGATCTTAAACAAAGCTATACAAACACGTTTAATATGCTATAAGAAAAGGGCATTTCTGGGGCTGGGAATGTGGTTCAGTGATATAGTGTTTGCTTAGCCTCATGAAGTGCAGGGTTCTATTCCTCAGTACTACATAAACAGAAAAAGCCAGAAGTACAGCTAAGGCTCAAGTGGTAGAGTGCTAGCCTTGAGCAACAGAAGCTCAGGGACAATGGTTAGGCCCTGAATTCAAGGACTGTCAAAAATAAAAAAAGAAAAGGGCATTTGTTTCCATGTCTTTCTATTTGATACATAACATGTATCAATTGGTAAAACAGTGATTTCAATAAAAAAGCTTTTGTCTTCATAGAAGTATCAAGTAAAAAAGGCACACATTGTCTAATGCTTTGATATTTAAGTAGATGGTAATAAAAAAATCTGTATTTCCCCTAGTATTCATCTATATTGTTTTTAGAAATGGTGACAGTAAAAAAAAGCTTTTCTAGAAACATCTAGATGAGACCACAGAGGTTATGAAAATTCTTAGATTAGATCTACTGTATTTCCCTTAGTGTTTATCTATAAATTATTTTTTTTCAGAAATAGTGCTTAAGAAAAAAAGGGCTTTTCTAGAAACATCTATCATGAGATCACGTCTAGAGATTACATGAGGACAATGATAGAAATAACTACAAACCCAATACCAGAAGATGAATTTTCACTTGTAGCTTTTGGTTACAGACATCTCTTTCAGTGAATTCTTATCGCCAATACTTCCCAAACAAACTTAACAAAACACATCTCTCCCCTTCCCCCCCCCCCCCAAAAAAAAAAAACTATCCTGTTTATAAGTATCTCAGATAAACGCTTCTAATTAGTTAAAAACTCCATCCAGGAGGGCCCCTGGGATCAAATCACTTACCCATGTGATTTCTGTGAGCACAGAGGTTGGTACAAACCCTACCTATGGTACTTGGGACAGGTAGGGTTTGTAATGGTATTGCTTTCCATGGTATTAATACAGGAACTCGTATGCCAAAGATAAAGGGTCTCCTAAGCGGAATGGTAGTCAGATTCCTATTCAGGAAAGGTGGTTACTTTGGTGGCAGCACTAGGGTTTCTGAACATGGCAGTGCTTTAGGAGAAGGCCTCTGGAGGGTTAGGTCTACTGTCAATACTCAATATTGGTGAATAGCTGCAGGACAGGACCTATTCTTCCCAGATAGCCTTCTATCACCATGTAAAACAACATTATCCCAGCCTGTTGGGCCCACAACATCTAGAAAGCTCCCATTTCTGGAGGAGAGAGCTAGTGCCCAAAATCATTCTGGAAAGTTGGCTTGGTAGATGTTTTGCACAAAGAAGTCACCACTAAATCGCTGCTTAAGTCAAGGCCCCGGCCTTCCTTTTCTGCTCGGTAGTCCAGAAACATCTCTTTAAAGGCCAGAAAGTCTGTGAAGGTGAGCAGCATGTCCAGTATGTCACCAGTGATTTCTTCTTCATGGTATTTTAACGTTGCAGTGAAAGCTGCCATGTTAAACTTGGGAATCCGCTTCAGCATCTGCTCTTCAATGTATTTTTCTATGGAACAAAGATACTCACGAAAAATTGATGTGTAGGTGGTTTTATCCTCTTCCGAGTTTTCGAATTCCTGGTAGTATTTGTCCATGAAACTTTGCTGCAGTTCCTGGAACTTGGTATCCACAACTATGTCTTCTATGGATCCAACCACAGCATCAAATTCTGCATCAGATGCGGAAGAGGTGGACAGCGCGAAGATCTCTTCCTCTGCGGATTCCATCACATCTCCTGTTGCTGCCCCCTTTCTGGCATGGTGAGTAATCTTGGACCAACCTAGGCCCAGGCTGCTGCTTGCTCACAGTCCAGTGGAATCTGTGCCAATGCTAACCATGGCTCCATCTGCTCATCATCTCCAGTTTGGCCCCTGTTACTGACTTCTAGGTACCCCGCCCTGCAACTGGTCACCATGGTGAAGATCATCATTCTTAATGACTGCATAATATTTACTCATATGAATAACACATTTTGATGGGTATGCTATTTCTACTTTTGATGGGTATGCTATTTCTCCTTTCTTCTCCTAATAAACAACTTTGCAACGAACATAGTTGTTTCTGAACCCTCAATATGGAATTGCTGGGACACTTAAGAGTTTTAAGAAGTGATGTGAACTTTATTTGTGAGTACTAATACATACATTTACAATGTATGTATCAGACTTTTGTTTCTCCAGTTTTATGAATACCGTAGGGTTATTTTTGAGAGTTTTCATGGTCTTATTTTCCATGTATTTACTTTCTAATGAAGATGAGAATTATCAAAATGCATATGGCTAATTTTTACCCTCTGTGAATTGTCTCCATTTATTGTTTTTTGAATACTTTGTTCTTCTAAGTAATCAATGAGCAAAATTAGGTATTTGTGGTAAAATACCTTTAACATATCTTTTAAATGCAGATCTCCATGAGGGTAATATTATATCTAACTCTGGGGCAGAGATGTAGCTCAGTGGTACAGTGTTTGCTTAATATGCATTAGGCCCTGTGTGTGATCTCCAGCACGACAAAGCAAATCAAACTAAACAAAACCAAATAAAATTCTGCTACATGATCTTGTGGCTAACACATCCTGTTAACTACTTACAATAATCCATATAATAGGTCTGCTATTTAGACTAGATTTAGCTCGGATCTCCTTGAAGAGATGAAGATAAACTAGAACCTACCAGGGGAAGAGTGACCTGGATAGAGAGGGTTTGGCACACATGTCATATACCATGTGTGGACAGGACAGGGAAAACGTTCTTCAATGGAGTCTCATGACTTGAGTTCTACAACCTGAGCTTTCAATCTATCCATCTTGCTTCTTACTTTCCAGGGGTCTTGGTGTTGACTGATGCCTCTTCCTCTGGAATGTGGCCCCTTATACCAACCGTAGTTTCTAGTAACTCATTCAGCAGCAAATGTAATCTATCCTGGATTTTATATCAGGGCGAAGCTGCCATTCCTTTCCTTTTGCCTGTCTGAGGCAAGGGCTCCAATAGAGGTTCTTTGTTATCAGAGGCATTTCTTCCCCGCTAGCAGAGAATCTTTCCAGGAACACTCTTCAATGAAAGAAGCAGTCTTATCCAATGGCAGGTCACAGACTCTCAGTATCCAGAGTACTGGCTGAGTTCTTTGCTGCAGCTAACCCAACCATAAGCTGCTGTATTCTCTTCCTTACAAGTTGATCCTAAGCACAGTCCATAAACTTCCTGCACATAAATCTCAGTTTCAGAGACTTTTCCCTTGGAATCTGACCTGAGAGAGCATGTAAGAGCTGACTAGCTGGCTGCTAGACTGGGATTTAGGTTGGAGACTGCCTTTCTTCTGACAAGAGCTGGTTGCCTGGGGAAAGTGGAGAAGACTCTGGGATCCTTGAAGACCTGGAGGTAAAAGACCAGGAAAAGTGGGGGAGTTCTCCATACACATACAAGAATTTGTGGAGAAATTCTTCAGGGATTCTGGAAGTGTGGGATTCCCTGGCTTGTTGCGTCTGACTAGCAGTAAACTCTTGCCTGGATATTCAGAAAAGGCAACCCAGGGATGGGCAAATAGTGTTATGCTAACTCTGTTTTACCCAGTTCCCTTCTTGTCTGGACAATGTCCTGGAGCAGAATCTCTGAGAATCCCACTCCAGTGTCCCAGGTCTCTGAAGCAGTGACTCTTGGTTGACTGAGATAAGCTCCCACTTTCTCTGGCTGACTTCCTCCCATCCCCTGGGAAATTGGGGGAAATTAGTAAGCACAGGCACGGGGGCTCCTTTTGCACTGTTGTGACTACCATTGGGTTGTTTCAAGACAGGAAGCCTGTTTTATTAAAGGTGGGGTTACTCACAGTTAAGGTCACACAGTCTATGTTTGTCCATAAATTTATTTCATGTATATGTTTCCTCCCAAAACTGGTAATTGAGCCATAGGGCTTTAGCTGGCCAAATAATTCATATGGATCTTCTGAGAGCCTCACATAGAGCTCATTTAGCCTTCACAGTGATCTGATGAAGTAGATGTGATTGTTTTCACCTTCTAAAGAAAGAAAAGGGGGCACAGAGTGGTTAAAGTCACATTGTGTCAGAGGCCAGTTCAAAAGTTAGTACAGGGGTAATTGGGCCCAGAATTCATGTTTGTCACGCTCATGTGACACAAGTGTACCTTTGTTTCTTCATAATGGAGGCCTTTACTCAGAGGCCTTTGAGGCCCCATATCCCATCCACAAAGCCTTGCTCTGTCCTTGGTACTGAATTGGTCCAGAGAGCCAGGAGAATGGTTCTCTTTCTGGAACCTGACACTACCATGCCTCCCTCCAATCCAGCTTCTCCAAGTCCCTGCTTTATCTGCAGTTATTTTACATTTGGACTCACAGATTCCTGCCTAATATCAAAGTAAACATTTACTCCTAAACACCAACTTTAAAACAGGCCTAGCTTTGTCCCTTTTGTTGTGTGCTCCATATAAATCAATACCAGAAATTATGGTCTCAAAGTCTTTTTTTTTTTTTTTTGGGTCCGGTCGTGGGGCCTGAACTCTGGGCCTGGGCACTGTCCCTCAGCTCTTCAGCTCAAGGCTAGCACTCTACCACTTGAGCCACAGCGCCACTTCTGGCTTTTTTCTTTTTGCTTATGTGGTGCTGAGGAATTGAACCCAGGGCCTCATGCATGCAAGGCAAGCGCTCTACCACTGAGCCACCTTCCCAGTCCTCAAAGTCTTTATAGGTAATAAAACTTGAAAATATTAATGTTTTGTTGCTGGGGATAATCTGTAATGAGGAATTAGAGCATTTACTTTCTCTTTTTGATGTGAATTAATATATTTAACTTCCCTTATTACAGGGATGAGAGATATGAAAAATTCAAAAGTTAATCTTTTCTTGAATGAGGCTAGCTTCATGATGAGTGCCACTAAAAATTGGACACTCCAATAGGGAATGATTTAAAAAGTAATGATTATTCACTAATTTGGCAGTAGAAAGAATACCTTCCTTACAGGGATGTCACAAGGCATAAATATATATTGATTAAAGGCACTTTATGAAATGAGAGAAATGCATACTAATGTTGAGCTACAAAATTAAGTTAGCAACAAGGTCTTTAAAGGAAGGGACTACTACATCAGGTGATGCTTATGGGGTACACAGTATTAGACATAAAATATGCACTCAACAAGCATTTGTTTACTGATGGACTGATTAAATAATATACTGAACAACTCCAAGATACATAGTTAATAAATGGGTGATAATGACCACCATTACTTCCAGGGTTGCTATTGCTAATTCATTTCTGAGAAATAGACCACTCAAGTCTGAAAATAACTTCAGAAGCCATCAAGAACATTTAGACATGTACAGTGGATGGACACCACCCAGTTTTCCTCTCTCTCTCTTTCTTTTCTTTTCTTTTTGCCAATCAAAGAAACTCAGGCCTGGGTACTGTCCTGAGCCTCTCTGTGCTCAAGGTTAGCACTCTACCATGAGTCACAGCACCACTTCTAGCCTTTTCTGTTTAAGTGGTACTGAGGACTCGAACCCAGGGTTTCATGCACACTAGGCAAGCACTCCACCACGAAGCCACATTCCCAGTCTCTTCTCTCTTTCTAAGAATGTTAAGCAGTTTCCTTGTTAATTTCACTTACGGGTCTCAATTTTCCCACCACAGTCATGGGGTGGGGGTGGGCAACCCTAACCCCTTGTGTGTGGGAGTCTCCTTCTCCAGCTCGAATGCCTCCATGTTCTCCCATAGAGTCATCTGTGCGCCCATCTAGGTATGATCAGATGAGCCCAGGACAGGATAGGCACAGGGCTTCTCTTTGTGTATTCTCCATCTTGTCTATGGCTTTGGCAGCCCCTTCCTGCTGCTGACTCACCCCGAGCTGGCACCACTTCCACAGCCATTGTGAAATGGTGCCTCTTTGGTGCCAAGCTAGATGGATGTTTTATTTGATTGCGCATGAAGGATTTTATGATAATCTCCATTAATTCTCCCTTAGCACTGACTTAAGCTCCAGACTATCAAATTATTTTTGAATTCTGACCTGTTAGCCAACTAACTTGTTACTGTTATTAGATTCTTGTCTGTTATAATTCTACCTATATGCATGGATGTTTTCCCTAGTGTGTCCTGAAAAGAAAAATAAAAGACGGATATGTAAAGGTAAAGTTGCTATTTATAAAGGAGAAGAAGAGCGTCATAATTAGCCTTGGGTGCTTTGCTTATTTAAAAGCTTTATTATGGAAAATGTCAAACACAAAAATAGAAAGTATGCAATAAATGTCACTAATGTACGCATTGCCCGGCTCAGCAATTAAGCAATCCCAACTCGCGCATCTTTTCATGCATAATCTTGCAAGTTTGTCTAAAAGATAAGGGATCTTTAAGTCACATTTTTTTCACAATAACTGTCCTTCACGGTATCAGCATTAATTCTTTAAATATTGCCAAGTATTCAGTCAGGGTTCTCATGTCTACCCTAAAATCCATAGCTCTTTCAGTGGGTGATTACAGTTCAGTTTATTGCTGATTCTAGGACTGATGGACATTGGGTTAGAACAGCTTTTGGCTGGTAGGACAAAACTGCTATGAACACTGCAGTATGTGTCTCCTGGGCCCTTGTCTCTGGAAAAGGCTCCCCTGAGGCTAATTACAAGCTCCCTGATGACAGTGCAGTTGGTTCTTCCTAAAGGAGTAAAGGTGGTGATAGAGGAGAGCAGCGAGGTTCATGGCTGCCTGCAGCTCAACTCTGAGCTG